GCTAACAGGGTGATTGCAATGTCCCCAGGCACCATGTGGCTGTGGGGAGCGGCAGCAGAGTTGAGAATGCTTACCTTTAGCAAATCATGCTGCCATGTGTGTACCTATGCAAAAAAAAAAGAGAATGCTTACCTTTGCAGATGACTCAGAGCCAGGAGGAGATGATGGGGTGTGGAAGGCAGGGGCCAGTTGGGGAACTGCCTGGATGGGCACTGGGGTTTGTAAAAGCTGGTGCTGGGCCATACACGGTGGCTCACACCTGTAATCCCAGCCACCTGGGAGGCCGAGGCAGGTGAATCACCTGAGGTCAGGAGTTTGAGACCACCCTGAACAACATGGAGAAATCCCCACCTCTCTACTAAAGATACAAAAATTGGCCGGTGTGCTGGTGTGCGCCTGTGGTCCCAGCTACTCACTTGAACCCAGGAGGCAGAGGTTGCAATGAGCTGAGATTGCACCACTGCATTCCAGCCAGGCAACAAAGGGAGAGTCTGCCTCAAAAAAAAAAAAAAAACAAGGCTGTTGCTAGTGCACCCTCACCCGCACCCCCGCTTGGCCCAGGGGCCTCCTCTAGTTCCCACTCCCGCCTCTCACACTGCTTTCCACCTCCCTTCAGTGTAGGCAATGAAGTTGAGCTTGGACTAGACCAGGCACCTTGCTCGGTTCTCCCAGTCTAATTGCTGGGTTTTAATGTGTATTGCATTCACTAGGCACAATGTGCTTTGTCCTTGTCTTGTTAATTTGGCAACATACGGAGCAAACCCATAAATCTCCTCTGGAGTTTATTGAATAGCTTTTCTCGTAGTTACCAAATTGTATTTGCCATCTCCCTTAATCTTTTCACATGCATATTTGAAAGAATTATTCAAATGAATGATAATTACATCCTTGGAGAGTGGAGAGCAGTGGGGAGAGGGCTTTGAAGGCTGAGACAGAAAGCCTCGGCTCTGGCAGGCCCCTACCCCAACCCCAGGGGCTGCAGGAGGACCCTCGTGCACTGAGACCCACCCACCCAGACCTCTGGACCAGAGCAGGAAGTGCATTTAAACATTGTACTCTTTCAGGGTCTGTCCCTTACTGAGTTCTCCTGGGGAACTAGGAAGGGAATCTGTTTGGTTACCTAATTAAACTTTCCTATTTTTAATCTCATGGTGAATTTGTGCAAAATAGAAAGCATAGAAAAATGCCAGTGGCAGCTGCTTCAGCATAAAAGTGTTGTGTTTGTAGTGGGCATTGTCCAGAGTCTGAAAGCTAATAGGCCTTCTCTAAAAACACCCTAGAAGGTCCCTGAGCGTGATTGGAAACATTAGAAATAAATGTACTGCCTTTTACTCTCCAGGGCTACAAAGAATGCTAGACTGGAGACAAGAGTCCAGACTCTGAAACAGTCTCCTTTGGACACAGAACCTACCACTCTTGCTTATCAGAGGCAGCGGGGCCCTGGGTTTTCTGGGGCCTTGAGCACTGAACCCTGGTCAGCTGTCTTGAGTCCTGACTCAGGCCATCACCACAAGCCTCACTCAGGACAGGAAGATCTCAAAGAAACCTTTTCCTCTAATCCAAGTGACATCTTTGTCACGGGTGTTTGTACATGAAAGCAGGGTGATGACGGTGTGTGGGCCCACGGGAGAGGTAAAATACAGCCCTAGTTCCTATTTGCCCTAGTCTCTCGCTGTTCCCAGGTTAAGTTATAGCATGTTTTACAGCATAACTGGTTTCACTGCTGAGACCTAACTTTGTGTAGAGTAGCTCCTACCAAGGATGATCAGAGGCCCACTCCTAGCACTGCCTCGCGGCACAATGAAGTGTGGAAACAATCCTGAAAGCATGTACAGTGGGCACTGAATCAGGAGGTTGTGTTTGAGCAAGTGCTTTGAGTTTTTTGAGTCTTAGTTTTCTCATTTCTAAAACAGGGATAATGCTTGTTTCATAGGATTTTAATTTATGTAAATACATAGTACCAGACCCTCAAATGTGAGTATTCTTCCTGCCAGCCTTATCTCTCCAATTTTGAAACAGCAGCTATAAACTAGAAGGAAATGGTTAAGGGAAAAACAGTTCCCAATGTCATCTGACACCTCCCCAGAAATATGCATCGTCCACCCAAAACCACACAGCAGCTATTGCTCTGCTGTGTGGTTGGCTCGGTATGTTCTGATGATAACGGGCTGACATTTGTTTTCACTTAGGTCAAGGGTGTGTGGGGTGGGGGAGAAGAGGTGCCTGAGCTTTTGCAGAGCGTCACCTTCAGGCGAAAAGCAGAGTGCAGGGGATGTTAGTGATGCGGTTGGAACCTGCTTAACTGTGAGATTCTGAAACTTTTTGTAATCATTTCCCTATGACAATACGGATACAGAGAAAAACCCTTAAACCAAGAAGAGCTGAGTGATGGGAGCAGCAAGGCAGTGGGTTCTAAGAACTCTTTGAAGGTTAAACACCACTCCTGAAATAGACCTCACCATTGAATACATCAAATTACATAGATTGTTAGAATTCGGACTCTTCCACAGCATAACTATAGATACGAGGAAGGCTCTATTGAGAACGTCTCAAAATTACTATGCGTTTTAAATACCCCTAGTTATTTACATAATAATGGCTGTCACTTATTGAACACGCACTATGGATTTGCATGTTCAAAGGGTTTTACTTGTTTCAGCTCATTTACTCTTAACCACCCTAGGAGATGGGGCAATTATTACGGTTTAGTAATTTGCCAATCTGCTACATGCAGGACGTGTGGGGCTGGGGTGTGTACTCTTAACCTAAGGGTGATGACTGCACCTAGAGAGAAAGAATTTTTTTTAAAAGATTGTTTTAAAAATCTTTACAAAGGGAAACTTTTAAAATGTAAAAAAAATTTAAAATCCTTTAAAAACACAAAAATGAAAACCATTAACTCTAAAATGGCAACAGAGGCTGAGGTGCAAAGGCTAAGAAATAAGGATGTTTGGCCGGGCGCGGTGGCTCAAGCCTGTAATCCCAGCACTTTGGGAGGCCGAGGCGGGTGGATCACGAGGTCAAGAGATTGAGATCATCCTGGTCAACATGGTGAAACCTCGTCTTTACTAAAAATACAAAAATTAGCTGGGCATGGCGGTGCGTGCCTGTAGTCTCAGCTACATGGGAGGCTGAGGCAGGAGAATTGCCTGAATCCAGGAGGCGGAGGTTGCGGTGAGCTGAGATCGCGCCATTGCACTCCAGCCTGGATAACAAGAGCAAAAACCTGTCTCAAAAAAAAAAAAAAAAGGAAAGAAAAGAAATAAGGATGTTGCAGGTGTTTTGTTTTGAAGAAATTCACTACTATTATAGTTGCTTTTTTATCAAACTCCCCTTCTCATTCATCAATGTGTATTAACCCAATGGTACCAGGTGGAGAATAAATAAAATCCTTATCCCAGGTAACGCCAGAGCCTGATAGCATATTCTCCTGGATTCGCCCTCAGCCTATGGAAGTACCTGGGGAACTCTCACACCTAAAGCTTATTTTGAATATGCTGACTCCTCTGCCAACAATGAAACATCAGTGATCCCCTCTGCCAGCAGAGCCAAAAGAAATGGTCTAAATCCCTAAGATTGCAGTTACACAGCTTAATCAAGTGTGTGTGTGTGTGTGTGGGGGGGGGGGACTTAACAATGCAAATAGCAATTTTAGGGAAAAATAAGAAAAGCAAAGGTCCAAAAAGCAATGCAGGAGGAGAGCCTGCTCTCTGAAATAGTGGCTTCTCATGCAATGACATAGAACGTCCCAATGTTAAATCATGATCATGAGAACATTTCACTATGGTGACTGCACTGGAAACAGAGTATTTCATTGATAGAAAATTACCAGGACACTTGGGTCTGGAAGATACTGCTGTCTAGAATAGCTGGGATACAGTGAAGATTGCTGTTTTACTTCAGCAAGAACAGGGTGGATGCGACATTGTATTTTTTGCATCTGTCTTTGAGTCATCCTCACACCCACTGTCATCACCACCATCTAGCTAGTGACAATAAGCCTGTGAGATGGGCATTCTCATCATTTCACAACTGCGTATGAAAAAAGACTCTAAAAGAGAATTTGCCCAAATTCTACATATTGTGTGTCATATATATATATATATATATAGTTACCATAGTAATACGTGCAGGACTGAGATTCAAACACAGCCCTGGAGTACCTGCCAGCTGTCTGCAGTCTCTCCCAATCTGTGCAGGTATTTCACAGACGCAGAACATTTCCCCACAGTGATCTAAGTTTTCCAGCCTCAACTATTAAAGAGATAAAAATTTCCATTTCTATTTATTCAAATCTGTTCAATCTATATTTACAAACAAAATCCTTATTCCTGTTGGCCATGTAGCCCTGTACATTCCAGGCCAACTACAGGAAGGGGAACTCCTTGAAGGAAAATGTGTGGATGCTGGTTCTCTGTGCCCCACTGCCTGTCAGGGTGTCTGGACATCAGTGCTCAAAGTCAGGCTGCATTCTGTTAATACCACTGCACCAATACGAGTCTTTTCGATACATTTTTTGAGATGGAATCTCGCTCTGCCACCCAGGCTGGAGTGCAGTGGCGTGATCTTGGCTCACTGCAAACTTTGTCTCCCGGGTTCAAGCAATTCTCCTGCCTCAGCCTCCTGAGTAGCTGGGATTATAGGTGCGCGCTACAATGACCAGCTAATTTTTGTGTGTGTGTGTATTTTTAGTAGAGACAGGGTTTCACCATGTTGGCTGGGTTGGTCCCGAACTTCTGACTTCAAGTGAATCGCCCGCCTCGACCTCCCAAAGTGCTGACATTGCAGGCGTGAGCCACCGTGCCTGGCCTTTTCAATACATTTTTAATCAATCGGCAGCCCTCATAATCAGCAAAGAGGATGTCCGTGTCATCTAGCATCCAAACTCCAGGTCCCTACCAACAACACTCTTAGGCAGGCATCTGATGGTACCTCAGAACCACCAGGAACCAACACCACGACGGGTTGAGAAATAAAAAACACTCTCATCATGCCTTAAATGATGTCTAGTTGTCTTTGACATTTAATTTCAGTTTTCATAGGAATTAATTATGGCTCTAACATTACACTGATACTGACCACGCATTTATCTTACATAATGTTGAATGCAGGCAAACTAGAGAAGTATGATGCTTTGATTTAGCATCTATGCTGCCTATGAGATGAATTTCTTCATGAAAGAAAAACAAACCACCATAAGAAAAAATAATTTTTAAATTTTTTTCTCAGTGGCAGAATCACATAGCTGTTTTGATACAGATTTCCAGTAGGTCCAAAATACTGCTTTGGGAATCGTAAAGGGTCCATTACAGAAATACACAGAACAGTGGATAAATACAATCACATCTGTTTATCAGGTGGTTACACTGGACATCCTTTGCCTTACTTTTCCTATAAGAAAAGATCACAGGATCAAATCAAAAATTCTACTAGTTGGGGAGAAAAAACCCTAAAAGCAAAAGATAAAATCAATGACCTGGTACGCTTGCAATGAAATGCTTTGTCCCTGCAGAAGTTTGCGTGTTTGTGAGTATTTCACATAAGGTAAGAAATGTATAATTTCAAAAAAACTGAAGAAATTCAAAAACATATTCTTCATAAAAACAAACCACTGCTTTTCAATGCCTTCTTCCCTTGGAACATAAGCTGCTTTAAGAAAGATAACGAAAGCATCAACGGACATCTTGTTATTCATCTGAAATACTTGGACAGAAAACTGGCAAATCTGGTACGTGGTTCAAGAAGTAAAACGTTACGGATTTTAAAAAACGAAGTTAAAACATTGCACATTTTCTACTGCCAAATGCCAAAAACCTTAAATTGTCTTTAAATCTAAAAGACTAAGGATCTTAGAGGAAAAGCCACTTCTAATCCATAATAGTAACACTGTAACAGGAGTGACAAGCAAGTTAACAGAAACTACTAAGGAAAAACAAAGCCACCACTTAAACAATGAACACTGTTAAAATTTTAAAAGAAAGTTCAGCGATTGCAGTGGACAATGATGGGCAGATTGAAAGGATGTTGCTCATGCAACACCAGGTGTAAAGCACTGGGAATGAACATGCTCAGCAGCGTGTACTTCCAATGAATTCAAATTACACACGATCATACGAAGAGTATCATTCACCAAGGACAGTCCAAGGCATGTGAAAAACCTACATTAAAGATCTGGATACACAAAGCAGAGATACATTTTATTTCTTATAAAGAGTTACATTGAAACATGCCACTCACATCATAGCTACAATTATGCTAGTCACGATTTTTAATCATACAGAATAAAGCTATAGCATGTGAAATTACAATATATTTATCTGCTTTAAAACCATTTTTAAAGAATGGCAGATATGTCATTTATTACAAGCCAAAACCAACAGAAAAATGTAACTGGTAAATGCAGCCAAAATGTATTTGTGGCTAATTAAATGCTGCAACAGATTTTTTTGGTCCATGAGACTATTAAAAAACAGAGGTTGGTAAGGGATTCCTATTTATCAACAGAAAGGAAAGGTTTATGAAAAAATTCAATACAAATTAAAACATTTTAACAGCATGCTTTTTTTTTCGGCAGTTAAACAAGAAATAGCTTAAATAATGGGTGTAAACAGGTAATAACACTCGAATTAAGATGCTTTGAGTGTCTCACAATTCTCTTTTGAAGGACATCAGATTTTCTTTTCTTTTCTTTTTTTTTTTTTTTTTTTGAGACGGAGTCCCTCTTGTTACCCAGACTGGAGTGCAATGGCACGATCTCGGCTCACCGCAACCTCTGCCTCCTGGGTTCAAGCAATTCTCCTGCCTCAGCCTCCCAAGTAGCTGGGACTACAGGCGTGCACCACCATGCCCAGCTAATTTTTGTATTTTTAGTAGAGATGGGGTTTCACCTTGTTGACCAGGATGGTCTCGATCTTTTGACCTCGTGATCCACCCTCCTCGGCCTCCCAAAGTACTGGGATTATAGGCGTGAGCCACCGCGCCCGGCCCAGATTTTCTTTTAATGTCAACTGAAATGCAATTATGACTTCTTCTATTAACATATACTAGGATTTGCTGCTTGGGATCAGCCAACTATGGCCCAAAGGCCAAATCTGCTCTGCTTCCTGTTTCTGTAAATAAAGTTTTATTGGAACACAGCCACACTCACTCATTTACATATTATCTGTGGCTGTTCTTACGCTATAAAGGCAGAGGTGAGTAGTTTTTAAGATGGTATTTTAAGACCATATGATTCCTGAATTATTTACTATCTGATCCTTTTCAGAAAAAGTCACCCCTTCCCTAGGGGGCTAAGACGGTATATGTTTCTTTCATTACCACTGTTTTCTCTTATTCTAATGCATGTGTCTAATCCGTCTCTTTTTAATACCTCATTTTATGTGTTGGTGTATATACCTTGGAAGCTTAACATGTTAGCTGAATTCCCATCTTTAATATATTTGAACATAAGCATATGTCCAGCCAGAACCTGTTTGATTTTAGGTCACTTGGAAATTCTCCAGGAGTTAGACGATCAGAAAACGGATGCACCATATACCAACAGAATGGCCAGAAAATGGTATATCTTAATTTATCTTGAATGAGGAAGTTGGATAGAGAAAAGAATAATGAAACCCAAATATACTAAGTAAATACCATTGTAAATCAGAGGGAAACCAGCTTGAGAGTTTTCAAAACACACACACACACGCGTGCGCACGCACACACACACCCAGAGCCATCCTCCCACCTACCACAAACTAACAGCTATAACATAAGCAAAGTATATTTGCTTTTATAAATATATTACTGTCTATATACATATACATATAGATACATCCATAAAAGACATGTTAAATAATTATTTGTATAATCAATACTACTTTAAATTTTTTGTGTATTTCAAAAGTACACATTCTATTATAATTATCAAAATAATTCTTTTAAAATACCAAGAATAAAACCAGTGAAGAATTGCTTTCCATCCAAGTGGTTCTAAATCTTATAATTGGCCATCCAGACCCCAGACTTGGTCGTCCACAACTCAAAGAAACGTAGTTTAATTAGAGAAAAGTTAGTCATCAGAAGCACTCCTCCCAACCCCTGTTTTTAATACCACATAACAAATACATATTTGTGTATATAGATATATATAAAATACTCTTCAGTTATATTACATATTCTCATAAATGAACTTTCATAAAAACATGAAGTTCAAGTTTCCACCAGTGTCAAATATCTTATCCTGGTGGGCATTTCTTCCAAATGTGTAGGTCAATGACAAACTCTTATCAGGATATGTAGAGCGATCATAAAAACAAGACTGAAAACGTCTGTATCACATGCAAGAAAGGAGGAAATACTAAGGGCCAGTATTTGGCCAGTTGGGTACTATTCCCTCAGGACTAAGACACAGAGACAACAGACTGGTTAATTACTGTGTAAAAGTACAGTCAACTGTCAATTATTCAGGGGCAAAATACTCTAATCTGAATCCTTTTTTTCTCACCAGTTGACCATGTCTGGCAATTTCACTTATTAACACACCTCTCTGGTTATTTATTAGCAAGTCTGGTAAAAGATTTGGTTAGAGAGAAAGTTTTGGCTAAAATGAAGCCTTCGGATCAGCAATGGATTGAATTCAATGGTGAACTCCTTTTCCTTATTGCTTTAGATAAGTAAGAATTTGCTGTACTTAAGGTCTGCCAATTATCTCATTCTACCGCTCTGAAAGCAACATTGGTGCTTCACAAAAAGGGGACAAATTGTCCTCTTCACATAAGAAAACTGCTATTTTTAAACTCATAGCTAATTACACTGAAGGATTTAGTGTGGGTAGTTCAGAGCTATTCACTTCAGTAGAGGTGACAGCTGGCTACACTATTTTCCCACAGTTTAAAATCCATGAGGCAATGACAAATAGTCAACTAATAACACAAGAAGGTAAAAATCAAAGTGTCACACACAGCTCACCTAAGATCTCACTGAAATACATGTAGTGAAATCTGGCAGATTTTCAAATAATGAAAACGCTAAAAGGTAGAAAATGGAAGCAAAACTTAAATGTATAATTTAAAAGTGATTTCATACTAAAAAAGTCTTAGCATATGACTAAAATAAAATATATCACACATTTATGACCCTATTTTTGGCACTGAGTTAGCCTCTACATTTTATTTATTTATTTATTTATTTTTGAGACGGAGTTTCGCTCTTGTTACCCAGGCTGGAGTGCAATGGTGTGATCTCGGCTCACCGCAACCTCCGCCTCCTGGGTTCAGGCAATTCTCCTGCCTCAGCCTCCTGAGTAGCTGGGATTACAGGCACGCGCCACCATGCCCAGCTAATTTTTTTTTGTATTTTTAGTAGAGACAGGGTTTCACCATGTTGACCAGGATGGTCTCGATCTCTTGACCTCATGATCCACCCGCCTCGGCCTCCCAAAGTGCTGGGATTACAGGCGTGAGCCACCGCGCCCGGCTAGCCTCTACATTTAAACTTGCCTTACAGTGACTAACCAAATCAAGGAGAACAATGTCACATGTGAGTAGGGTTGCTCTCGGACAGACACCACCCAGAATGAGTTGTGTGGCCTCACCCACGTTATTTCTGGGTACAGATGAGTGCCACTCCTTTCAAACACAACAGCAATAATTGTGTAGAATACCACTTTCCTGAATTAAGTTTGCTGAACACGGTTCAGATTATTGGATATGTCAATATGCACAATGCCTTTTAGAAGCATTTACTGTATACCGAAATCCTACTTCCTGCAACACACAGTGTTGCACAAGTAGTGAAAATGTTGTCCTAGTCAAGGTGCTCAGACGTTATTTTCAGGCAGCATTTTACCTTTATTTTAAGCTCACACTAGGTAAGTTTTAGGAGAAAGAAAATGCCAATAAATTTATTTAATGTGTTTTAATATATAAAACTAAGACAGACACTTTTATTTATCTAAATTGTTATTTTTATTTTCTAACCTATTCTAGACCTCAATTTTTACTTTAAAAATTTGTATTTAAATAAGGGATAAAATGTTGCCCAAAAGTCTAATCATAGTTACATACTTGTGTTTTAACTAGATCTACAAATCAAAATAGTTCTTATAGTTAAAAAGATACAATTTGTATCAACAGTAAAAGGTACTTTCTGGCTTTTCAGGGCTTTACTACAAACGTAGCATGTAGAATAATCACAGTAACTAGAGCATCTAGGCAGACTACAGAGAAGGATCTGAACTCGTCTCTTACACCAAGTACAATTCAAAATATGGAGGCAACAGTCAAGTGATATCAATCACACAACTGTCTGCTACTGACGGCAAAATCTATCTTCTAATCCGCAGAAATGCATTCACCGCTAGCAAAACTCATGCCTCTGAAACCAGAAATATCCCTTACTAATACTAGAACAGACTTTAGTCTGTATCTAAAACTACACTATATGTGGCAAGAATCTGGCCTTAATAATATAACAGGCCCCCCAAGAAAACTACCTTCAGGAAAATGGAAAATATACAATATCTTACAAAAATTTTAAGTTACCATTTACAACTCCTCCATTACCATTTCTATAGTGCAGTATCAAGAAACATTGCATATCCTCAACACATAAAACCAGCTCAGGCCAGCCTTGATAAACAGCAGGAAAGCTAAAGAGGAGGCTAAGTATAAAAGTTGCATTGTAAATAATTAGATTCATTAAAAACAGGCAAGTGCTGTGAAAGGGTTATTTTATCCAGTATTGTTGTGCCCCAAAACAAAAAAGACAGACATATTAAAAATATAAGTTAATGGAAATCTAGGAAATCAATTCCATTTCTACTGTCTAGAAGCACGTCATAGCTGGATAACGAAGCTCGAACCTGTAACAGTTACGGCTTTTGCCTTTTTCATTAAAAAAAAAAAAAGGAAACATTTTTTCCATTGATTGCATCTGCTTTCTTTTAAATCGACCATATTAAATTAACTAATTTCTTAACAAAAAAATCCAAACAAAAATAACACAATGAAAAGTGCCGTATTGTAAATCATTCTAATATATATACTGTTACCCATTTCAACAGAAAACTGGTAACTTACATTTTGCTTAAAATATAAAGTCAGTGCTGTAGTATATCTTTGTTTCTATAAATAATGATTATAGCACAAAGAAGCCCACTTTCCCCAAATAAAAATAACTTAAAAAGCTGTAAAAGAGTCTAATTAAGCTTGGCTTGAAAAAATAGTTTGCTAGGTCTCGTCAAATGTCCCACATTCTGAAGGTATTGTAATTGCTTGCAATTGATAGGCAAATACCAAGTTAATAAAACACAAAACAAGGATAAAAAGTGCTGCATATAAACCCCTGATGCACCAAAGATTAATATCAAAGATCACAGATACATCTATTAAATCAAACTGGAAAAATTTCCAGCCAAGGATATAGCTTTAAAAAGGAAATGTTAAAAAAAATTTAAATGTAAAGCAATCCCGTGATACTTCCACCATGTGGGGCTATACATACAGATTCCATGATACAGTATTTCACATAAATGGATACTATATAACCTCCTTGCCGAGAAGGAGATCACATGTGCTATTGTAGCAAACCTCCCTCAGCATTTGAGCTGAACAAAAAACTACTAAACACCACAAAGATGCATCATCTTTCAATAACCCAGCTGGGATTTCTCCACTAAAATGGCTGCAGCGAGCTGCTGGGCGTCTGTCATGTGGGGATTCCTTTTCATGACAATTCTCACAAGGTCGGGTGGGAAGATGTTGCACAAATTGATATAAATCTTTTCTCGGTTGTCTTGATACCTGGGGGGATCTTGTGGCATTCCACAGTACGGGATCCGCCAGGCCGGATCCTGCTGCTCAGGGAGGCTCTGGAAGGTGAACTGCTCATAACACGGCTGCGTAGAGTTATCCGGCAAGGAGTAAGTCTGCCGGTACCCATAGGCGTCGATCCCATAACCTGGCCTCTCCCAGCTTCCCAGGCCTTCCTGGCGGGAATAAGGCTTTCTTTGTCTTGAAGGAGAACTGTCATAAAGTCGAGAGTCAGAGATGCTGTCTATTCTCGTGGCCACCAAGGACCTCCCTAGGTGTGGTGCCTTAGAGTGTGCTGAACTTGGAGGAGAGGGGTAGTCGCCAGGACAGCTGGACCGGGCGCCCACAGCGGGGTGCTGCAGGTGCAGAGCCAAGTGCGGAAGAGGAGGCTTGTGATGGAACTTTGGTTCTTCGTGACTGTAACTTTGCACTCTGGTTAAGGGGTCGTGGAAATTCTGCAGGAAGGGCTGAGAATTAAGGCGGCTGTGAGGGTGCATGTGATGACACTTCAGATTCTCGTCTAGCTGTGGGTCGGGGGAGCTGACATAGGACCGGTCATTGTACCCCACGTAGGAGTCACTGCTCCCACAGCTCATGCTCCCTTCACTGCTGCAATCAGAAGCTACGGAACTTATTCTATAATCTGTGTCTAAGGAGAAACGCCTTTCAGGGCTTCGTGGGCCTGAGAGACTCAGATTTGAGTATGCATTCAGCATGGAGTAATATCCAATGTCGACAGGCGAGTCACATTTTGGATACTGTTCATAAGGCATTGGCGTTCCATGATTTTTGGTTGCCATTATCATTGGAGGATACTGTCCCTGTGGTCTTTGATCCTGAGGTGGGAAATGAACTCCAGATGGAAGGCCATTGCTTAAAGATGTAGTGCTTTGGGGTTTTGCAGTAGAAGTAGCTGGGATGCTAACTAAGGAAGGTACGGACCTTGTTTCCAATTTGTTTTTGGTGGGAAGCTTTTCTTCTAGGTCTTGGTAGACTTGAGTCCTTATGCTTGGATCTGATTGCCTCTTTGGAGCACCTCGTTTGACATCAGAAGTGCTATCAGCCTTGGTGCTGCAAGGAACACTGTTGCTTTTCACCAGTCCCCCTTCATTTGCAGTTTTGGCTGCCGTATTTCTGGACATGGCACGGAGTTCATCAGCCACTGACCGCTGCGGCTGACTGCCCCTTTCGGGATGGTAATATTTGCACTTGTGTCCATAGGTACACTTCTTTCCTAAGAAGAATAACATTAATTAGGCAAAGGAGCATATCCTCAGATCCCGCAAACTCAGTTTGGCCCTATGTTTTTAACTTGTAGAAGAGACAAGGACAGAACTGGGAGTTGTGCTGAGGGTTACCCTGTTCTTTACTCCTGAGAAACGTCACTTCTCAGTCTTCTCACTTTCTTACTATCAAGAGCAGTAGGAAGTTGGCCGAATGAGCAATAATCACCTCCATAACTTTTTTTTTTTCTGGAGACAGCGTCTTGCCCTGTCGCCCAGGTGGAGTGCAGTGATGTGATCTTAGCTCAATGCAACCTCTGCCTCCCAAATTCAAGCAATTCTTGTGCCTCAGCCACCTGAGTAGCTGGGATTACAGGCATATGCCACCACACCCAGTGAATTTTTATATATTTTTAGTAGAGACCAGGTTTCGCCATGTTAATCAGGTTAGTCTCAACTCCTGGCCTTATGCGATCCAACCACCACAGACTTCCAAAGTGCTTGGATTACAGGCGTGAGCTGCTGCGCCCCGCCACCTCCAGAACTTTTGGCTAATACCTCCGTGTCCTCAATTGCTACCTGCCCCTTCTGTTCTAGTAGGACTTTATAATTAGGTAGGAAATTCTGCTTTGACGAGCATAGTGTACTACTGTAGGAGATAGAACCATGCTCATTTGATTTCTCGATAAAAAAACTCCCCAATTTTTCTTCACTTAACTTCATGTAGAATTAACAGCGTTTTTTGAGCCATGTTTTAATATAAGGAAATGCATTTATATTGAATCCAAACAGGTAAAAATAATTATTTTTCATGGCTAAGACATTTTCTGAAATTTAACTGGAATCCAAAGAACCATATATTATGCCATCCAAGATTTTAAGTGTTTATTTTTACTAACTAAAGTTTAAAAAAATATTGTGTTCTAAAGGCATATACTCAATACTCATAAAGAAAGTTACCATATGGACAAGGCTGCTTTTTGTGTTCAGGAACGACAGGTTTCTTCCTCAGAAAATTATCCAGACTGGGGCCATGTCTGCCAAGAGGGTCATCAGGGGGCATGAACCTGTCATAGAGATAGTAAAAAAACGACACCTAAGTAGGAGGCTTATAATTTAATTCTGAAAAGAGTACAAAGATATGTTCACTACAAGAATTCTTTTTTGAAATTTTAATCCAAGTGTTTTGATTCAATGTTTACAGAGTTAAAAAAAATCAGCACATGAAGTTCTCATTTCTTAATGAAAATTGAACTGTTTTAAGCTGAAATTGTATTTAATTCAAGTAAGTTTTGAGTTGAGCATGTCCTATCAATTCTTCCTTCCTCTCAGTCTTGGGATATTGTAAGTGTTTTAGAAAGTGATTCCAGTGACACTTTAGGAGAGTTTAGTTTACACAGACCTTGTGAAGTGGATTGCTGCAGGTGGGGCGAGGTAGAGCGGCAGAGAAGGGAGGGGCTAGAACACCGGGGAAGGTATGAACTTACCAAACACTGGTTCGTTCCAGGCACTTGACACACTATGCCGTGGCATCCTAACCACGATCCCATGAAGTATTTGCTCCATTTCACGGAATCGTGAACTTTCCTAATTTAGGTTTTGGTAAATTAAGTGATTTTTACCCAATGTTGCATGGCATAGTCAAGTTCAATTATATCTAATTCCGATCTATTCTCTTCCCCTATTTGAATTCGCTTCTCAGCCGAGAAAGAAAAAATGCTAAGGAACTAAACTTACTATTTTGGATGGACTGATAAAGAAGAGAAGAATTTACGACACGAATAATGAAGTTATGCTTGAAGAATTCTGCTACTCATTATATCAGCATTTGAACTTAAACTCAAGTATTTACCTATAAAATGTGAATAATGGAAATAATGCATGAACACTTACAGGAGTGTCAACATGGCTGAGTAGTAACACTTAGCAAATACAGTGTTTATTATTACAAACAATATGGTAACATGACATGTTACAAAATAGAAGACAAGGTCACTCAGTCCTACAGTCTCAATACAGTTACTCTCCATGTCTCTGCTGTGGCAGATTTAAGTCATTTTCAATGTGCACACATCATTTTTACATGGCTTTACTCAAACGCGGATTTCCTTTTGACACAGAGTTTCGCTGTTTCACCCAGGCTAGAGTGAAGTCCATGATCTTGGCAACCTCTACCCCCCAGGTTTATGCAATTCTCCTGCCTCAGTCTCCCAAGTAGCTAGGATTACAGGAGTCCGCCACTATACCTGGCTAATGTTTTTTGTATTTTTAGTAGAGATAGGGCTTCACCATGTTGGCCAGGCTGGTGTCAAACACCTGACCTCAGGTGATCCAATCACCTCAGCCTCTCAAAGTGCTAGGATTACAGGCGTGAGCCACTGTGCCTGGCATCATTCTTTTGTTCATAGTAACTCTGAAGAGCTGAATACTATTCCAGTAGGAGATATATCATAATTTGATTGTTTTCTCTATTGTACATTTAGTTGCCCTTTAATTCTTGCCATTATAAATAACACAGAAGTAAACATACCTGGTCTTTATTTATTCCTCATTATATATTCCAAGAAATGAGATTTTTAGGTTAACAGAATACAATAGTTTTGAGGCTTCCGTGAATCTCTATCAAGTAACATAGTGGTGCATCTTTAATAGCATAACATACACACAAAACTATTCTTGTGAATTAAATGAGAAATATATTCTTTTTAGATTCAGTTTGCACTTTTGATTAGCAAGAGGTGAACTTTTTCTACATATTTATAAATATATTTACTTTTCATGAGACATGATTGTTGATGCCATTTGTTTATTCATCAACTTTTACTTTTTTTTTTTTTGAGAAAGAGTTTTGCTCCATCATCCAGGCTCAAGTGTAGTGGCACAATCTCGGCTCATTGTTACCTGTGCCTCCTGGGTTCAAGCAAGTCTCCTGTCTCAGCCTCCCAAACAGCTGGGATTACAGGCCTGTACTACCACACCAGGAAAATTTTTGTATTTTTAGTAGAGATGGGGTTTCACCATGTTGGCCAGGCTGGTCTCGAACTCCTGACTGCAAGTGATCCACCAGCCTCAGCTTCCCAAAGTGCTGGGATTACAGGCGTGAACCAATGTACCTGGCCTATCAACCTTTAGATTCTGATCATGACGAGCGTCTTACATTAGTGTAAGAACTTTAAAAGTTCATATACAGCCATGCAATGCATAACATCTTGGTCAACGATGGACTGCATATATAACGGTGGAGCTGAAAAGTTGCTGGTAACGTAATAGCACAATGTCTTACTTCTGTGTTTGTGGTCATGCTGATGCTGGTGCAACAAAGCTACATGCCCAGTCATATAAAAGTGTAGCATGTACTATTATGGACAGTGCATAATACTTGATAAACAACGATGTTACTGGCCGTGTGTGGTGGCCCATGCCTGTAATCCCAGCACTTTGAGAGGTCAAGGCAGGCAGACCCCAGCCTGGCCAACATGGTGAATCCTCGTCTCTACTAAAAAAACAAAAATTAGCCAGGTGTGGTGGGGCATGCCTGTAATTCCAGCTACTCAGGAGGCTGAGGCATGAGAATTGCTTGAACCCGGGAGGTGGAGGCTGCAGTGAGCCAAGATGGCACCACTGCACTCCAGCCTGGGTGACAGAGCAAGACTCCATCTCAAAAAACAAAAACAAAACAAAACAAAACAAAAACACAAGTATGTTACTGGTTTATGTAGTTACTACATCATACTTTTCATTTCTGTTTTAGAGTGTGTTCCTTCTACGTCTAAAAAAACATTAACTGTAAAACGGCTTCGTGCGGCTCCTTCACAAGTATTTCAAGAGGCATTGTTACTGTAGCAGGCGACCGCTCCGCACATTGCATCGCCCAGAAGTCTTCCGGGGAACAATATGTGCAGGTGAAGACAGTAATTTTGATGATCCCGACCCTGTGTAGTCCTAGGATGACGTGTTTGTGCCTTAGTTCTTAACAAAAAGTTTAAAAAGAAAGAAAAAATAAAAATAGAAAGGCTTATAGAATAAGGATAGAAAGAAAATATTTTTGTAGTTGTACAATGTGTTTTAAGTGTTATTACAAAAGAGAAAAACGTTTTAAATACTAAGAAGTTCATGCATTAATAGTAAAAAAATTATAAGCCAAGGTTAATATATTATTGAAAAAAAAAGTATGATAAATTTGGTATAGCCTAAGTATACAGTGTTCATAAAGTCTATGGAGGCTTATGGTAATGTCCAGCCCTTTACATTCACTCACTGACTCACTCAGAGCAACTTCTCGTCCTGCAAGCCCCATCCATGGTAAGTGCTCTACACAGACGTACCATTTAGGATCTTTTATCCCATATTTTATGGTATATATACCTTTTCAGTGTTTAGGTATCTTTAGATACACAAACACATCTTACCATTGTATTACCATTGCCTACAGCGTTCAGTACTGTAGCATGCTACACAGGTTGGTAGCCTGGGAGCAAAAGGCTGTATGCACCGCATCGCCTAGGCGTGTAGTAGGCTGTACCAGCTGTGCTTGTGTAAGTTCACACCAATGATGAAATCGCCCGAGGATGAATTTCTCAGAACGTATCCCTGTTGTTAATCCAAGCGTGGCTTATTTAGTAAGCTAACACTGCTCTGCATTGATTTTAAGGCAATCCTTTGAGGGTGAAGATGAGAAACCCCCTATGCCAGTTTCCTCACGTTCTTCAGACAGAGTCTTAGAAGACCTCCTCTGCCTCAGGTGTTCTCTGAGTGATTTACAGGGAAAGGCGGGCCTGCCACTCACACCGGGCCTCCTGCGGCAATGATTCTGCAGTTTTCCCGACTCCCACTGAGGAGTGGTGGGGAGATCAGTTGTTAGAAACCCGTTTGAGGTCTCGTCAGTGGCAGAAAGAGAATTCTGTAGCAGCTGCCAGGGACAGTGATATTTTCACGGATGCAATATCATTGGCAAGTACAAGGTTTTACTTACTTGTCATTGACAAATGAATACATTAATAATCGTTCATCTATGAACTTCTTCCATTCTGGTTTCTCATTGGCCAAATCCCTGTAGTTATCATTGGACACAATGATTCCATCCGACTCAAAAGCCAGCTTCACGATGAACCTGTCGTCGTAGCACACCACGCGCCTCCCCTGGACTCGCCGGGATGGTGTGAACACCAGGATTTTCTCCTTCTCTAATTTACGTAAAATTTCCTGATCTGCAAGAATAATAAGGGTAGGATTTCATAAATTAAATACACGTATAACGCACTCGGCAACTTCCATACAGTGTGAAATTTTATAACATGAGCTGTATATATGTAATCCTCTTTAATTAGGGATTATGATTTAATTTGTAGATAAAGCGTAATTTCTAACTCTCAATAATATTTTTCCTTCAGAAATTTTAGTAATAAAGGCTTTAAACATAATTGAAAAAAGATCAACAGCGTAAAACTGAAACACGATTGGGCAAATTCTGATTGTCATTAGGTGAAGCTTTTGCTGAAGAGCTGGAGTCATCAGCACGGCCACTAAGGACACAGCTTCTTCCACATTTCTGCTTTAATGCCATTCTAACAAAGCAGCTGTACGGGGTGTGGGGTTCAGGTGTGAGCAACACATTTTTTCCTCCCAAGTTGGTTTGCGTATTTGTAGTTATTTCCTTCTAACTAGTGGGAAAGTATGAAAGGAAGTAGAAATTATCAAAGCAGTAAAGGGAAACGCTTTCTTTTTCTTTTTTCTTTTCTTTGACGGAGCCTCACTCTGTCACCCAGGCTGAGGAGTGCAATGGTGTGATCTCAGCTCACTGCAACCTTCTCCTCCTGGGTTCTAGCAATTCTCCTGCCTCAGCCTCCCGAGTAGCTGGGATTACAGGTATGCGCCACCATGCCCAGCTAATTTTTATATTTTTGTAGAGATGGGGTTTCACCATGTTGGTCAGGCTGGTCTTGAACTTCTGACCTCAGATGATCCACCTGCCTCGGCCTCCCAAAGTGCTGGGATTACAGGCATGAGCCACAGTGCCCAGCTGAGGAAATATCTTTAAATGCAGAAAGTTCAAAAAGAGAGGAGGCAGTGAGGTCAGAAGTGGTGTTAGGCTATGATATGCTCCATGACCTTTCTGTGAAACATGATAATAAATGCCAGCATTCTGGTGGGGAGCAGACTAAGTAAAAGACAAGTGATTATGTGGAGAAAACATCTGTTGATTAGAAAAGGCCAGGTAGAGGGATGCTCATTTTGTCTGTGGTTGGCATACTCATTTTTTTTTTTTTTTTTGGTGACTGAATCTTGCTCTATCACCCAGGCTGGAGTGCAGTGGTGCGATCTCAGCTCACTGCAACCTCCGCCTCCTGGGTTGAAGTGATTCTCGTGCCTCAGCCTCCTGAGTACCTGCAATTACAGGCACCCGTCACCGTGCCCAGCTAATTTTTGTATTTTCAGTAGAAACGGGGTTTCACCATGTTGGCCAGCAACTCCTAACCTCAGGTGATCCACCTGCCTCAGCCTCCCAAAGTGCTGGGATTACAGGCGTGAGCCACTGTGCCCAGTTGGCTGGCACACTCTTACAGCATTCTGTAACTCTATTGACTTGTTCTGTGACTAAAAAAAGGGTAGTGGAGTTCATATGTTGATCAATGATAAAAATTCTTTTCAACATCCTTTCCGCCTACTTTTACTCCTCTGCCCCCCATTTTCCTACCATTGTAAATTCTGGCACCGAGTGCAGGGCACAAACCTACAGATGTCATGATTTTTTTTAAAAAAGCTCAATACTTCTCAGCTATAGGAGTTGTCACATTATAGTTTTGTGTTACTTCCTTGATAAACATTTTGAGGGCAGGTGCCATGTATCATTGATCTTTGTATCCATCAGCACCCAGCCCATGAGGCGCATGGGTAGATTTTTAATGAACATCTGTGGAATGAATGAAGGAGCTACTGAAACCTATATACCCTGAAGGCTTTCAGTCCATTCATTGTCTTATGTTCATGAGTAATCTATGGTACTTTATCAATTATGAGGATGTTTACTCATCTACGTCATGTCTTGAGCCTCACCAAAGTGAGTTGTAGATTAAGTGGCCTAACAGTCATCATCTTGCTGAATTTGCATTTCTTTAATTGCTAAAGCGGTTGGAAGGATACTAATTAGGATGACACAAATAATCCTAAGTAAAATGGGTTCAATAAAACTGGTAAGTTAACTGAATTTCTAGTTCTTAGCACAGCACTTACACATAGCTAGTGCTTGTTAACTATTTGATAAATGAATGGAAGACTGGCAAAAGTGCTAATCTGAATCTATGATGCTGACAACTTAAAAATATTTTTCATCAAGTGTCTTTTTCGGTGCAGTGAAAGAGTACTGGGCTACTCAATTTGGGTTGAGGGTTTTAGTCAAGAGAATTATTACCCGGGGGTTATAATACCTAAAAGCCTCTGACATTAGTTTGGCATTTTACAAAGCAATCTGCATACTGACGGGCATGCTGGTGTTTTTAAAACTAAACTTAGCCACGCTTCACACAGTATACTATCATTTTCTCTTCTTGCTTTCGTATTTCTTTCATGTTCAAGAAGCTTTAAAGTCATTTACATGCCTAAATATTGTTTTTCTTTTTTTAGTTTACTTTACCCCTTCCCCTATTATCAAAATATTATAAGTTCCTTGTAGAAAATTAGAAAGGTAAGGACAAGTACTAAGAAGCTGGGAGAAATAAAGGCCTCACAAAGTTGCAACTTGGAGGCAACTGCTGCTAACAGTTTGGTATATTTCCTTCTTGTCATTTTCTGTGCACTTCGTTCTTTCCATTGTTAATATATGTATATATATATGTATGCCTGTCTGTGTACACAGACATACAATAATAAAATCTGCCTTTTATGTAAAAGAACATAAAAATTCTACCTGAATATTCTAATGCATATTCTATCATATTGATACAACCTAATATTGAACCATTCTCCCAATGAATGATCACTTTCATTTTTCTGTTCTAAATAATAACATTACATGGGTGGGATGCCTTTGGTCACGAATATTTGTCTATACGTGTGCTTATTTTCTTGGAACTTATTCTTGGAAGGGGAACTAGTAGATCTAAAAGTATTAACATTTTAAGACCAACTACTTTCTTGACAGGTCGTAAAAATTTCCACAGCAGCCTATGAGTAACTGCTTCAGGGGACTGAGTGCTATCAGTTTTTAAATTTCTGCCAAATTTTTTTTTTTTTTTTTTTTAAATGGAGTCTTGCTCTGTTGCCCAGGCTGGAGTGTGGTGGTACATCTCGGCTCACTGCAACCTCCACCTCCTGAGTTCAAGCAATTCTTGTGTCTCAGCCTCCCTAATAGTTGGGATTACATGTGCCTGCCATCAGGCCCAGCTAATTTTTTGTGTTTTTAGTGAGAGAGGGTTTTGCCATGTTGGCCAGGCTGGTCTTGAATTCTGACCTTAAGTGATCCATCCGCCTTGCCTCCTAAAGTGCTGGGACTACAGGCGTGAGCCACCAGGTCCAGCTGTCTCTGCTAATTTGCTGGGTACACAATAACATTATTTAGATTTGTATTTATTTAATTACTAATGAGGTTGAACTTTTTTTCCTTCTTATTTGGTGCTTCTATTCTGGGAGTTGTCTATTCTTAGCCTTTTGCTGCTTATATACTAGAGAGAAGTTTTGTTTTTTTAAAAAATCAATCTGTATGAGCTTTTCATATTAAGGACATGATTCTTTGCTTTGTTGTATTTTTTTCCTCAGGCAACTGGTCAATTATCATTTTTAAGAAAGTTTCTCAAAATGCTGGAGCTTTACTTTTGATATAATTTAATCTTTCTTTTCCTTCGTGATTTCTTCTAAAAGTTTGAAATTTAGAATATTCTTGTGGTCTTTGATGGTTTGATTTTTGACAATTAAGTTTTCAACCACCTGGAATTTATTATTACATGGTGTAAGATAAAGGTCTAAACAAGTATACTTTTTCCAAAGGGTTAGCCAGTATTTGGTGCTACTGATTGAACGAAGACCTCTCTGCTTTACATTCCTACGTAGGCTAGGGTCTGAGTCCATGCTTTGGATTTCAACATTACTTGCCTATTCATTCTTCTGTTAATCTAACAATGATGTAGTAACTAGACACAAATTAAGTCGTATTTTTTTCCTAGATGGGGTCTTACTGTGTCACCCAGTCTGGAGTGCAGTGGGACAATCTCAGCTTACTTCAACTTCTACCTCCTGGGCTTAAGCAATTCTCCCACTTCAGCCTTCCAGGTAGCTGGGACGACAGTGCATGCCACCACACCTGGCTAATTTTTTGTATTTTTGGTAGAAACAGGGTTTCACCATATTGCCCAGGATGGTATCAAACTACTGTGCTCAAGTGATCTGCCTGCCTCAGCCTCCCAATGTGCTGGGATTATAAGGATGAACCACCACACCCGGCCAAAAATTAAGTCTTAATCATCTCCTTTGGATATATGGTAGGTGGTCTCTTTATTTGTTTTTGATTTAAAATGTTTTACAGTTTTCTTTATACAGGTACCCAGTTTTTATCAATATTGGATGTGGAGAGAAGGACAAGAAAGGTTGGATGTCGATTGTGAATCACTGAAATTGAGCAAAACGTTCCACAACCATAATTAACAGTTACAGAAGACATCAGTGCCTGAAACTCATACATTTTAAGACTACAGAATAATGCAAAATGCATTTCTTTTGACTGGACTGAAGCACACTTTGGGGTCTTACATGTCTTCTTTGAACTGTCATCATTAGAATCTGACCGCCACCTAGTCTAATGTCATAATAGCAGATGAGAAAGTTGGGGTCCAAAAGGGTTCACTGTATGGCTCAAAGTCTTCACAGCCAGCGAATGGCAAAGCCAGAATTTGGATTCAGGTCTTGTGACTCCTGGCATCTCTGTAAAGGTCACAATTTAAAAAAATTTGAAGTCAGAGTTTCCGCAAAAGAAAAGGCAGTGGCTCACGCCTATAATCCCAGCACTTTGGGAGGCTGAGGTAGGCAGATCAGTGGAGGTCAGGAGTTTGAGGCCAGCATGGCCAACATGGTGAAACCAACCCTACGTCTACTAAAAATACAAAAATTAGCTGGGTGTGGTGGTGCATGCCTGTAATCCCAGCTACTTGGCAGGCTGAGGCACAAGAGTCCAGGAGACAGAGACTGCAGTGAGCCAAGATGGCACCACTGCACCCCATTCCTGGGTGACATCGCGAGACTCCCTCTTACGTGAATGAGATGGATTAGGATACCTGACAGTGCCAGACACCTGCACGGGAATTACAGGAAAGCTAGGAACAAGCAGCTGCCTGGAGTATGCCTACCTGTAATGAGAGCATCAGGTCGGGACTGCTCTTTCCTCCAAGCAGGAACAAAAACTGTAATATCTTTGTGGCCTCTTTCCAAAAACCAATCCACTGCCAATTTTATTCCTCTGCAGGAAAATACTTCTTTGTTTCCATGGCTGAAAGATTATTACAGAACACTTAAAACACAATGAAATCTAAATTCAAGTACATTAATTCAAGTTTGTAAACAGAAATGATTACATAATTACAACAGTAATAAGAAATGCCAGATTTAAAATGGGAGTTTATAGCTCAGAGACGCATCAAGATAACTAGCTGAAAATCAAGATCTGTGAGAAAAAAAAATTGGAATAATTATTTTCCAGAGAAGAAAGAAAATGAGTTTTCAAAGGTAAAGTTGTAAAGGTTAACTAGTCAGAAAGACACAAGCTGTTTTGGATCAGAATAAAGAAAACAGAAGGGCTCCCTTCAATCACATCAAGAATTTCAGTCAAATGTCAAGAACTCATACAGAAAAAAAATCTATAAAAACAGTAGAACTGAATACTTATGAGTTTCTAAAAACTTTCTTTAAACAAGAGTTCTTAGTGTATATTTCAATACTCAGTGACTGAATCATGTACAAACTTTATTAGGTGAGCAATGTAAAACAACATACTACACACTCACTGAAAGGAAAGACACATTCACAATGCTTAATCTCACAGAAGAAACACTGCGTATACCGCAGTGAAAAGACACCTAGTTTCTGTTCAACTATATTGTGTTGGACAAGATTAATAATGACAAAAAGGCATTCAAAATTGGATTAGCAGCCTTAGTGCCGAAAAGAAAATGCACAACTAAGTGTAGTCATTCAGTAAGTATTTACCTAGCACCAGGTCCTGCTTATACACTTTAACCTACTAATTAAAAAATAATACTTATTCCAACGTTTTTGAAGAAAAAGTCTCCTGCTTTGAATGCAACAATTATGTTCTTTTATAGTGTGAAGGCTCCATTTGTTATCTATAATAAAGATTTTTTTCTTCTTAGGACTAAAGAGGGATGAATGAAATAATGTAGGTAAATGCTTTATTAACTTTTAGCATAAACTAAATATTAGGCATATTGTGTTCTAGGGTTCCCTGGGAAACACTAGAACAAACTAACATATGGCTAATCATTTTTAGCACAAAAAAGAAGTAAAATAACTGGCTTTGTGGATGTTGAAGCCTCCAAAGACAAACAGAGACAATACATCGTTCCACAGTCCTGTCCTGATGGTCCAGGGCATGATTAGACAGGACATCAGATGCACCGGAAGTTTCAGAGAATGGGATAAGGAAAGGGAGATTTTGAGGTCATTTTCTAGGTAAGAAGGGTTACCTGATAGCCTTGTGAATGCCCCAGCAAAAGGTACAAATTAATGTTAGGTTTCATGGAAAATACTGAAATTTAAATCAGTCTTCTGAAAAACTGTAGAAAATGGTATCTCTAGAGAGAACCCATGTACCAAGTATTCCTAGATGCAAAAAGTCAGACAACTAAAACCTTACTATATTTTCACTTTGCATTAATGCTTTGAAATCTATTGCATTATGTCTATGGCCACACCACCCTAAATGAACCAGATCTTGTCTGAAATCTACAGCATTAAGCTTTGCTACTAAACTAATGAGACTTGGTTTACCTACAGCTGAGCATTTAATTGCTTCTGGTCCTAAGGACAGGGCTGCATAAACATTTCTTCCTGGTAATTTCATTTGGTAAGGATAAATGTCACATCTACTCACTCTAGAAATAGAACATTCTATCTAATTAATTAAATAATTTACTTTCATAAGATGTGTGCAAACAGCAAACCATTTACAATTACGGGATAAAGATTCTGTAGATGTTAAAACAGGATACTGTACCATGCTATTCTGATAATAAAGGTTGTTTTCTTTATCCTCACTGCCCAGAAAGACTTACAGGGAAAAAACAAGAATGAGGATAAAAAGTGGCTCATCGTTAATGGTAAGTATCTCCACCTTGTTGAGAAAAACATAATCTTCCATGTGTTTAAGAAACTGTAGTCAAGTTTTCTGTTATTTGCAGCGAGGCATACCATTAACCAAAAGAAAACTGGCATAGCTCTATGAATACCAGAAAAAGAATATATTTTAAAATAAAAACCATTATTAGGAGCAGAAAAATTACTATGTAATAGTAAAAAGGGAACAATTAATAGAATGCAATAGTCATTCTAAACTCAGTCTCCATATTGGTAGTACAAAGATCACAGTATTACTAGAAGAAATGAAAAAAATCCACAATCATACTAATTGACCGAAGAAGCAGAAAACATTTAATAAGGATACAGAGGATTGGAATAATTCAATCACAAGCTTGATCTAATAGACATATACAAATTCTGCACAAAACTAAGGAGAAAAAAAATGTTTAAAAAACCATATGGAAACGTACATACAATACATGATTTTAGCACAATATGTTATTACATTGCAGATATAATGTCCTTGTTAGAAAATTAGTGTTGCTATAGCAGCAAAACCAATTTACAATTTTAATTTAAAAAGATCCCATTTGTAATGTAATAAAAGCCATCCAAATCTTTTAAAAAAAAAGACATGCAGGAGCTTTATAGATAAAATGAAAATTGAAAACCTATGTTAAAGGATATAAGGGAATACCCAAATAAAAGAACACCATACTATTTTTATGGGCAGTAAGAATTAATAAAGATGGCAAATATTTTCGAATTTATCTGTATGTTGCAATTCCAATGAAATTCTCCAAAGGTTTTTTTCACAAAACTTGAGAACCTAATCTTAAATTAATATGGAAAAATAAAAGGCCAACAATAAGGTGTGTTAGGAGTCAATGAAGAGATGAACTACTCAGCATATGGTACCAGGGCGACTGGTTATTCCTATGGAAAAAATGAAGCTGCATTTTAGGCCGGGCGCGGTGGCTCACGCCTATAATCCCAGCACGTGGGGAGGCCAAGGCGGGTGGATCACGAGGTCAAGAGATCGAGACCATTTTGGTCAACAAGGTGAAACCCCGTCTCTACTAAAAATACAAAAATTAGCTGGGCATGGTGATGTGCGCCTGTAATCCCAGCTACTCAGGAGGCTGAGGCAGGAGAATTGCCTGAACCCAGAAGGTGGAGGTTGCGGTGAGCCGAGATCGCGCCATTGCACTCCAGCCTGGGTAACAAGAGCGAAACTCCGTCTCAAAAAAAAAAAAAAAAGAAAAAGAAAAGAAACTGCATTTTAATCTCACACCATATATAAAAAATAAATTGTTGATAGATCAAATATTTAAATATAAAAATTATAAGACTTTAAGAAGAAATTACCAGAGACATTCAGGATAAGAAAATACTTCTTAAACAAGACATAGAAACACATGTTATTAAGGAAAATAGATATATTAGAGCACACAGAAGTTCTTTACACAAAAGACTCCATAATTAAAAAACAGGTCATAGCTTTGGAGAAGAGAATTGCAACATAGAAAACCAATCAAAAGGCTAGGACTCAGAATATAAAGTACTCATATATTAAAAGAGGTAGCCAGTTGTTTCTCAGTGCAAAATATATGAACAATCAATTCACAGAAGAGGAAACCCAAATGACCAATGAACATAGGAAAAGATGTTCAATAGTAAAGAAATGCAAATTAAAGCCAAAATGAGACACTATTTCACACCATCAGATTGGTAAAAATAAAGTCTGCAAACACCAGATGTTGCCAAGAATGTGTGAAAGTAGGAACTCATACATCACAGGTGGGAGTGTAAATTGGCATAACTATTTGGGAGAGCAATTTGGCAATACTTCTATAAAGTTGAAGGCGTGCTTTCTCTAAAACACAGTAGCTCTGCATCCAGGTACAGTAAAACCCCACAGGAACTCGAAATTAGATTCAATACAATTGGCAACTGCCTTTCATCCTCCTTCCAGCCTTAGATGGCACTTGGGGGCAAGCTACTGTTCTTATCTTTTATACGAGGCGGGAAAGTAAGGGAAGTGGGGATGAGCAGGGTGGATCCCTAAGTTACCAGGACTTTCCCAGCCAATATACCCCTGTTCAGCCTCCAAAATGAATGCTAACCAAGAAATCCCTAGATTGGCTGCTGTTGTCTTGCAAGTCCGTGTCAGGCAGCAAGGTCCAGAATCATTCATAGTATAATAATTTAAGCCTGAGCAGACAGTTACCTGGTGGCTCAAACCTGCAGATGAGACCTGCAGATGGCACATTAGGAGAGGTTTTGGGAGACTGAACTTAATCTAACCTTGAAGGGTGTGACTCATCCTATGTGCTAGATACAATATAAGGGATAACTGGAGGAGGTACTGATAAAGAATGACAAAATCAGAGTGAGCCAGAGAAAGTATTATGAAAAACAGGATGTCAGAGTAAGTGCCATGTAGTTACTGATGCAAAGGAACTATCTGATTCCATATACACAGAGAACATTCACCACAGCTCTATAGTCACTTACAGGCTAGCTGCATGGATGCAGGGTTTTTCTGCTCAGTAACAAAATCAGTTAATTCTGTATTTATAAATTAGCATATTCCTTTGGGCCTTGATTACTATTTTACCCCAACAATTTAGCAATAAGGATGACTGTTATACTTCAAGTGAGTCCTTTTGCTGCGTGAATTTGTTGGAGGATTTGTGGTCACAGGTGATTAGGTAAGATCTCTGAATATTTGCTAAAAAGTCTCCCTCTGACTACTTTGGCTGAGTGGGATTTGGTTCCCAGGGAAAATTCCAAAGCCTCCCTGCAAATTGTGAGTTACAATTGAGCAAAATGGGTAACTCATTAAAGGTCCCATTTGATTCATCACTGGCTTTAAAGGTAGAAAAATATGTGATGCATAGAATGTTGTCGGTAGGTCTCTTTCTTAAAAATAAAAGGCTTATTTTATTCTCTCATATTTGGCATAAGTATACTTATAAAAATCCTGCTTTGTAGTGGTCAAAAGAAGGCTCATTTGAAGTAGACAAATCGATGTATCTGGAATTCTCAGAAAAGCCCCACTCAAAAGGATTATTGGTATCTCTGGATCTCAGGAAATGAAAGAAGGAGTGAAGTGGGCAACCATAAAGAATGAATTAAGAAACTGAAGGAAGGGCCGGGTGGTAGTCCCAG